CTTTTGGTATTATGAAGAACAGTGTAATTAAAATAAGGTGATTTATTCGATGTCTTAGAAAACTAAAGTTATTCTTCTCTCACTATCAGAGAAAATTCTTTACTGGTTTTTTTTTTGTTATTGATGCAAACAATACAAAAACTTAAATACAAAAGCAGTATATTTTTTAAAATTACATCACGAGAAATCACAGAATTAGAGAATGGTTTGGGTTTGAAGGGATTTTAAAGACCACTCAATTCCAACCCTCTGCCATGGGCAGGGTATCACCTACCTTGAACACTTCCAGAGATGGGGAATCTGTGGCTTCTCTGAGCTTCACTACACATCATGGAGAATTTCTTCCTTATATTTTACCTAAACCTACCAGTTTTTAGTATAAGACCATTACTCCTTGTCCTATTACTATGCTCCCTGATGAAAAATCTTCCCATCTTACTGGTATGCCCACTTTAAGTACTGAAAGACTGCACTAAGGTCTCCCTGGTGCCTACTCTGGGCTTTCTCAGCTGTTTTTTTCTCAGCAGAGATGCTCTAGCCCTCTGATCATTCTCATGCCCCTCCTCTACACCTATTCTAAGAGATTCACATCTTATGCTGCACACTCCAGACCTGAGTGCAGTTCTCCAGGTAGGGTCTCATGAGAATGGAGGGAAATAATCACCTCCCTTGCTTTGCTAGCTACACCTCTTTTAATGTAACTCAGGATTTGATTAGCTTTCTGGGCTGCAAATGCATGTAATTGGCAGAGCTCTTCTCTATCCATTCCTTATCCAGCTTGAAATCATATTTGGGATTGCTCTGAACCAGGTGTAGGACCTTGCACTTGGCCTTGTTGAAATACAAGTTTTCATGCAGGCCCACCTCTTTTATGCTACATACCATTCTTATGTTAAAATACTTTAAGAGAACATGAAAGGTCTTCCTGTCTATGATATTGTCATGTGTTTTGATTAAAACAGCTGTTGTAGCTTTTAGATGGAAATCAGAAACATAAGATGTATTTGTCACATTGTTGTCTTTTTGTTGTGAGTGTGGAACTACAGAGCAAAGGTTAGTCATCTGCCTTGTCACCTTAGATCATTTATGAGATCTTATCTTCTAATTCTCAGAGAACGACTGTGCAGGCACATTTCTTTCTTGCCTAAAGCTTGAGGGACTTGAGGAAGGTGAGGGGCAGGGGAGGTCCTGGGTGACAGACACAGAACTGGGATGGCCCCATGTGCTGAGGTGCTCGTCCAGAGGTTTTGAGCTTTCTGAGAAGCAAAGTAACAGGCACTGCATATATTTTATGTAGAGAAGTATTATGGAATACCTGTACAAAATATATACCTTGAATTCAGCGTCACAGCATGCTTCTCAAATCCCTGGAGCCATAAGAATCTACTTGAAAATGATTTAATTTGCCTAAATTACCTTTCTAGTTGAATGCCTGCAGCCATGAACTGTTGCCGTTGTAAAGAAGCCTTATTATGTCAACTTGTGTTGACACTAGAAACTATTAGGCCTTCCTTTTACAAGGATTTATTTTATGTCCATGAAGTGCATAGTTTGAACAAGTGGATTGTGGTTTTCCAATGCTTGTGGGCAGTAAATCTGAAAATAGAAAAAGACCAAAAGTTTGTTATTAACGATCTAAAGTCAGCAGGGTAGGAAAACTGACGCTCTCCCCAAGCAAGTTCCTCAGGCATGTTAGAATTATTGGCTAGGGTAGAACAAAGAAGGTTTTATTATGGTACTCTTCAGAGCATGGGTGTTACAATTAATTATTTCTGAAAGCCGTCTTTATGGGGGAATTTAAATACTATGTATTCCAAGTTCCCATCTGCTATTCAAAGTATTAATTTATTGTTCTCCGAGTCAGTTTTTACTACATGTTCTGATGATTAAACAGCATGGTTTTTCTGAGGTACATGTCAAAAGTAAAGAAAATTTTATACTCATTTTTCTAATGACATTTTCCTATTATAGAGCTAGGATGCGCAGAGTAATTTGGGTTGGAAATCTTACTGACTAGCAGACAAGCAGGTATGTTTAATAGTTAGCAATTAAAATGTTTGAATTGATGATGGCAGTTTATGTAAGAGCCATACTGAATTTCTCCAAAACTTAAAAAGTATTTCCACATTGCCATAGAATCCTACAATCCTTCGAGTTGAAAGGGGCCTTTAAAGGTCACCTATAGTACAACTCCCCTGCAGTGAACAGGGACATGCACAGCTAGATCAAGTTGCTCAGAGCCTGGTCCAGGCTGGCTTTGTATGTCCTGAGGACCACATCTCTGGTCTGTCCCAGTGCCTTACCACCCTCACTGTAAAAGACTTTTTCCTTATATCCAACCTAATTCTTCCCTCTTTAGATCCGAGACAATTTCCTTACATTTATTTCAGTTCTCCTGAAGTTCCTACAGCTGTCAAGATTCTGCATGGTTTTCCATTTCATATTACAGGCAGCCATTATAAATTGAGTGTATTTGCTTTTTAACTTTTTTCTTTTTTTGGGGGGTCCTATGGAATAGCTTGATTTTCTACTTTACTAATGAACTGTGGGCCTCCTTTTATAACTTGGTGAAGAAATAGCTATGCATGGTGATTTCTCCATAGACAAAGTGGAAGCTATAAATATGCAAATATCAGTTTTGGCTCTACAGAGTTTAATTGCTTTGCATATTATGCAAATTCCTAGGATGAAAAATTGACTCGTGCAGTATCACAGTTGTATATTCTTTATCTTAAAAATGCAGGCATATTGCTGAAAAACCTGCTTATATTTTGTCTGCAGGTTTACATTTTATTGATGTTATTGGAGTGTGTGTAGGATACCTGCATGACCAAGGCTCTTCACTAAGTGCAAACATTATGTTCCCAAACTGCATTTCACGGAGTCTAAGAAAATCACTTGGAGTAGTTGCTACCTTACCTATCCATGCTGAGATCACAGGAAGCAGAACTGGAAGGGACCTCTGGAGGTCATCTAGTGTCTCTCTACCCTACAGTAGGACCAGCTCATTCTGAACATTTCCAGACTCTCATAGATTAAGAGCTTGAGGCAAGGAATTGAGAAGTTCTTGTGCTGTTTGATACTGTAAATTATTTTTCTTCTATTAGTTAAAGGATGGAACAGAGTTTATAATCTAGACTATTTCACTGCAATTCCTGATTATTCTTTTTTCTAAAAATATCTGTTCTAACAGTATCTATATGAGCTCTGGGTCCCTGAACTCAGCAGCCATATGCTATGTTACAGACATTAGGCAGGCACTGGAATACCTCACAAAATTGAGAACCATTTCAATGCAATACTGCAAATAGTGTCACTGCTCAGCTGGTAATTCTATGAGGTTGCAAGAAGGGCTAACCTCTGAACACAGTGTTGGAAATGGAGGTTGTTATGTTTTAGCTATCTTGGAGAGAAAGTTTTAGGTTTTAATAACTAAGAGTCTTCCAGTGTCCTAGTTTTAAAGATCAGCATATTCAAAGATGAACTACTTTGATCTGGCCATTTGCCTTGAAGTCTCTTTTCAGTGAAGGTAAATCGGAAAGGAAATCAAAGGTATTGATTTTTCAAGATTCAAAGTAGACAACACAGATGTAGAATTGCATGAAGAAAGTTGGAAAGAAAGGAAATTAAAATTATTCATATATTCCTTAGAATAGCTGAAAATCTTTTGCACTTCTTTAGATCTTCTTCACAGGCTGTTGAAATATTCAGAGTCCTATGGCTGAGGATCCATTTCTGCATGCATTCAGCCCTCCTTGGTGTAAGTCCTAAAAGAGGATCTTGACTTGTTCTTAGGACAGTGAGCCTGTTGACACTGAGATAATAGGAGAAGGCAACAGGGAAACGCAAGGGAAATACTTAAAAGGTATTTTAATTTGGGAAAATGATTTGAGAACTTTAATATTTGCTTTCATATCACAAACTTCTCTAGAGATTGCTCATGTGAATTAATTACACCATTGGAGCTGTTGCATGAGGCATACTATTTACTCCAGAGCCCAGTCGTACTTCTAAGCATTGACAACTCTTTTTCCTCTGCCCACTGTTCTCTGCAGAATGACTGCAAGTGTCTTTTAGGAGCAGCACAGGCTGTCTTGTGCCAGAGCCTTGTTAGGAGGCATGGGATTGATTCCCTACAGAAAAAGGGGGAATGCTTACCGAGTCCTTAAAGCACTGAACCTTCTTGTCATCAGCATTGCTGTCACCAGTATTTTCATCTCAGGCAGCACTTTAGAAGAGCAAACTCTGCTTGGGTTTCTTTTCTTTTTTTTAGGAGAGGGTGTCAGGTTGAATCCTTGGTGAACTGGGGTTATTTTCTGCAAAGGAGAAAAAGGGGACCTTCTTTGGAGCACATCTGTATGTACCTATTAGGTGTTCAAACTTCCTTACACAGCAGCATGGTACTGGGAGAGTGTCCTGAATTCTCCAGTTCCCTGTCATAAAGAGTGATTTACAATTAAATCTAGAATGATCAACAACAATATTCACTTACTTCCTGACATATCCTTTAAGTTGTGAATTCCTGCTGACCTGCTTTCCTTTCCCTGCCTCTGTAACTAGCCGAAGATTTTGAGAACAAAAAGACCAAAAGATAAACTTGTAAAATTTCCTGGAAGAAGAATTCCCCAAACCGATCCTCGGAGCACACTGAGTTTGTAAAATAGAAGGGAGATTATGTGGCTTATCTCCATAGCACTTCAGCATCAACAGCTCTTCTTGGATCCAACTCTAATTCCTTAAGAATCTTATGTATATATAAATATAATGTATAAATTATGCAAACTGCTTTCTTTTCTATCTCATGTTATTTTCCAGTTTTTGAACTATTTACATACATTACCAAGCTACTTGATATGTTAGCACTTCAATTTTAAGAACTAAGATGTTTTTTTACATGTTAAAATATATATATAATTGGTTGGAGATAAGTATTAATACCGAGGACGTGTTATCGTGCTCTTTTAAACTGTCCCAAAATAACAAAGTGTCTTGTTCACTAGGTGACAAGAGTGTACAAAGCAGCAGTACAACAGACGTTGGATATACTCTTTCTTCCTGAAGGAAAAGAATTTCTTACAAGCACAGACGCAGTAAGCCGAGACTCAGCAGATCGTACCATCATTGCATGGGACTTCCAAAGTGCTGCAAAAATTTCCAATCAGATTTTTCATGTAAGATTAACAACTTATTATTTTTTGGGTCATGATATATTTTTTCACGGTTGTCAATCTTTTAGAACAAAAGCAAAGCTTTTGTTTTTTTTCATATCATTGTATGATGCATAATTACTCTAAATGTTAGTTGCGGTGTGCTTTATTTTCATATTTTAACAACACTTATTTAATCTTTAAAAAACACCTGGAAAACTGATAGGTCTCCTTGTGTTAAAGTGTTTATTTTCATTGCTAGTTCACTAACATCTAAGCCATGTTTAGGCAAGAACACTGCAGTGCTATTCTAGCTTACCAATGATTGTACTTGTTGTAGCACCGCATTTCTTTTCCTACACTTCTCCTAGGATAGCAAAATGATACATTTTTAATTAGATGGAATGAAGACTACTGACAAATTAAATTTAATATTTGCATAATAACAGCAACCTGATACATGCATACTGATATCTTGTATGACATAATCACAGAGGCAAAATTTACTTTTATCAATGCAGGTACAGTATTTCAGTAATCCGTCCAAGCAAGATATTTAATGGACTGAATTGTCTAGAAAAGCTGACAGCTTCAAAGGAGATTACCAAGGAAGTTAATAGATAATTCCAACTCCCTGGATCTTTTCTGAAAACCCAAGTCTAATATCTTATGTAATATAATATGATTGGATTGTATACACATGCCTTTTGGCTGGAATGAACAGTTCTCTACTGGCAAAGACATGTAGCAGGTGATCTAACGGGATTGTTTCATGTTTAATTTCCACAGTTATGTCTTTGTCTGCTATTAAATATTTCATCATCCTGAATTTGCGATTAGGAAAAAAAAAAAAAAAAAAAAAAGGCACTAAATGAACAAGTACAGAGCAGTCAGGTTTGGAATCAAAGGAAGGCTGTCTTTCATAACAACCTCCCTATCCACTACCAAAAAAACAAATAGCAAATACATACAGCCCACCTTCTGTGGGCTGGCAGCATCTCTGAACTGGACAGTTTTTTTTCCTCTTCTACAGTGTTTGACCCCTCCCAGTTAGACTCAGTTTCCCCCACAAAGCATGCAGTTCTTTGTCAACCAGGTACAACACCTAATGCTATTTGATTTCTCTGCCCAATACCTGGCAATATCCAGAACTGTCTGCCCAGTTCATCTTTTCCAAACCCCATAACAAGATCATTGATGCTTTTTCCACCCTACCACTTGGGAAGAGGTATGTATGAAGGATATTTTATTCCACATTTGAACTTCAGTTATCCTTGAGCTGAAAGAGGATGTCTCAGTAACTTTGTGTACTATCCTTCGGAGCTTCCGCTGTTTAATTATGCTGCAAAGGGAAGTGGAATTTTGATCATTTTCTAGGACATTGGGGTAGATATTTGATTTAATATTTGACTTTGTGTAAGACTTTCTGTGGATTGTAATAAGTTTCTTTATGGAGATGACTTTATGGTCTTTCAAATTTGTCAAAAAAAAAACAAACCCTAGTTCATTTGAACAAATAATTTATTTCATGCAACAAAACTTAATAATTATTTTCAGGAGCGTTACACTTGTCCAAGTCTGGCTCTGCACCCAAGAGAGTCTACATTTGTTGCTCAGACAAATGGGAACTATATGGCATTGTTTTCCTCCCAGCGACCTTACCGAATCAACAAAAAGAAGAGATACGAGGGGCATAAGGTATTTTCTTTCACCAGAATGATATTATCCAAGTCCAGAAGTGAGACAGAGAGCAAAGTATCTGCATTTTAATATGTCTGCTAATAGTGCTTGATGGTAAATCAGTGATTGGTAATAATTGCCTTCCTTTGCTTTCCTATGTGCAATTTTGAATTATACACACTCTGAAGAAAATAGTTATTAAAAGGCTTTCTGGATACTTAGTAGCCTGATTAAATAAGTTTATGGTATAGATGTGTCTTAATAGGAACCTGGACAAGTCCTCAGTGCGTGTTTATTTAAATATGCATTTTTTTGTACTATGTTCATTCTTCAGTGTACCACAATTGACTTCCCTGATCAGAATCAGGAGTTACACTATTGTTGCTTTTTCTTTTTAACAGGTGGAAGGATTTGCAGTGGGCTGTGAATTTTCTCCAGATGGAACACTTTTGGTGACAGGAAGTTCAGATGGCAAAGTGTTTTTCTACAACTACCATACTTCTAGGATTGTCCGTACTTTGTCGGCACACAGAGAAGCTTGTGTGAGTGCAGTATTTCACCCAGTATTGCCATCACTCCTTGCAACTTCTGATTGGGCTGGAGAAATCAAGATCTGGCAATAGCAAGCAAAATAACTTTTCATCCATCAAAGAGCTTGGTATTTCAGAGGGAATAAACCATGATATGCAGTGTGATATTTGTTGTGATGTGTTGTAGGCAGCAGAGACTGTTATCTTTTCTTCTTGGACCACTGGACATACGCTTTCATAATGCAGTTAAGAGGATTCTGTGATTAGCTGCTGAGCAAATAAGTGTTTTCTCTCTCTCTCTCTCTCTCTCTCTCTCTCTCTCTCTCTCTCCCTTTCTCTCTCTCTCCCTTTCTCCCTCTGTCTCTCCCCCTTCTCTTCCCCCCCTTCCTTGGGCCCTGGTGGCAAATTTCTGCCCTTTCTGTGCCAATATTCTGGTGCTTATCTAGTCCAACCCTGATGTGAGAATCTAGACTTGAAGAAAATTATTGCCCTTCTTATGTAGCTTTTACTTCAGTTTTCTTAAACCAGATTGTCACTGGCTTAGCTCCTTGCCCTGGTCACTCGTGCTGGTCAAGCAATGCTATATTTCCTTGTTGATATACAGTTCAAGGCAAAACAGCATCTTACATGCAAGAGAGGGAAGATCACAGGACAGGTGGGACTGACTCTTCTGGAAATAGGCAGATATTACCAGCCCAAATTATTGTAAAATGCTCTCTCAGTTTTAAGGGAAAAACTTGGAGCTAATTATGAAGTCTCTAAGTCTGTCCTCCCTAGATTCCTCTTTTTAAGACTGAGTTTTGAACTCAATTTTATAATTGTATATTATTGAAACAAAACTATGTGTAAGTATTTTTTTTAATGGGAAAAAATAAAGCTTTTTTAATACAAGGTGTCTGTACTTCATTGTTTTACTCCTGTTAATCTTCACAAGTCAGTACTCAAGATTACCATGAAATTGATTCTGTGTGTGGGGAGTGGGACAATTAATATGCCACCTGGATTTATTGCAAATGCAATGCATTTCTCCATACCTCTTAATGTCATTTACATATAGAAAATTGTCTTTGTGCCATTCTGTTCAGGGGGATGTTCTTTGACATTCAGACTGTAGCTGGGCCATTCTGCAGCAAATAGAGAATCCATTCAGCCATAATTCTGTATACTTGCATTTTTCATGTGTAGCATCTTACATTCTTCTAATTTGTTTTCATTGGCATGAATGGAATGTGAGATTTTTATTTTATATACCATTTTAAAATGCTCTGTTGAAATGGATTTTTCAGGGACAAAAATCAGAACGCTCTTGAAAGTGGCAGATTCTAATTAAGAAATGAGAAAAATATACTCCATTGGTTTTGTAGTCTGTGTTCCTTTAACTTGTAGTAAGTGATAAGCCTGTAGTGAGACCATGGTTCCAATTATCCTTGAATTTTTATATAGTTTGAAATCTGGATCAAAATATTGTGACTGTGTAGTTTTAATAATCTTAGCAACAGCTTTGATAGGTTTTAACACAGGGCATTACAGTTTAGTGATCCATGTGAGGTAATGCAAATAACTATCTATTTTTCTCAATTTCTTGCTTCCTTGTTTGGCAGTCAGATTTTTGACATAAGGATTTTGCATTTCTCCTGACTGTCTCTCTAGCAAACAAGCCAGCTGGACCTTTCAACACATAACCTGCTCTGTGATTTGAGGGGTTACTCCTAATTAAACCTGTGGTGCTGGTGTTTGTGATTCTTCTAGAACATGTTCCTGAATATCAGAAGGAGTTCAGGTGAAAAGCAGTAGTTGCCTGTATTTGGGTTGGCTGAATCACAGCTGTGTGGCATTGCCTAAGAGAGTGGCTCTGTTTCCTTTCCTCCAGGTATTTTAGCTCTAAAGGTGCTCCTACTGCTTTAGAACTTGGGGGTGCCTGATGTGTCAGTATGAAGGATGAGCAGCACTGCAGTAATACAATATATCCTATTAACCCCTGCAAGAGCTTATCTTGGGCTGCTATACGTTTAAATACAGCGTGGAGATATGCTTCTGAAATAAATGTGAACTCATGGTAGCCTACTTGAGGAATGCTACATATCTGAAAGAGCTCTCAGTGCCTTCAGCTGAGACCACCGGTGGATGGGGTGGAAGATCTTGAGAGAGCAGTCTTGGGGAATCATTGCACATACTGCATAGAAAAGTAATTTGCCCTTGTCATTCTACCCATGTTGTTGCCTGGGTTTAACTTATGTCCTGAGGCATGATTCTAGTGTCTGGCATTTATCCTTTCTGAAATGATCTTGCAAGTATAATTTTAAACCATTTATTAGGGGAAGAGGAGGAAAAAAAAAAAAAGGGAAGACAAATTTTGATTAAAGACAGTAGAGGAAAATGAAATAAATTTATACTATATAATATTAAAGAATATTAAATTTGGAATTGCATTTATGTTTTATTTCCAAGATGGCTGGAGTTTTAATTACTTGTGAGATTCAGCCAGCAGTTTTACAAAGGAATGAAATTATGTTCACAGCATTATCTTGTTAAAATCTCTTTCTAATATAAAACTGATTAAGACAGAGACTGAAATTTAATCATTTGAAATATTATAGCATACTGGTGTCAATTAAGTTTTCATTATGATTCAAAGACAAATTCTTCCTTGTAATCTTATGTAATGAACTGTAATCAAAAAATATCCACATTTCTCCATCATTCTGCAATTACCAAATACTGTTTGGGCTGCAAACAAGGATCATTATGGTCAGATGAAGCTTTTAGAATGTAATGAATTGTTGGTTAATTAATTTTATTCATAAAATTGTAATCTAGAAATGTTTGAATCTTGCTTTAGGAGCAGTTTTTCTAGGTTTGTAAAGAGCTTTCTAGGCTGCTGTGTGTTAGAGCCAAGCTAGAGATCTTCACCATTTTGAAATGGTCTTAGGCTTTGCAGATAAACAAGCTGAGTTCATTTTAATCTACTTTGTACTGTACCAAAAAGTAACAATACCAATCTCTAACATGTTATTATTTGCTACTGAAGCATTATTAATTTGGGGTGTTAGATGATGCAAGCTATTCAACTGCATCTTTATCTCAAAAACCTGCTAATTAGCAGACAGTTATTAGAATTATTGTGTTCACCCAGATGAAATACTGTTGGTGAGTCACTATATACCTCAATTAATGGCCTAATGAGGAAGTTAGGGTATGGCATCACAATGGAATGAGTCTTTCTGTACATTTGGGCTCTCTCAGACAAATTTAAAGTAATAAGACTAAATTAAGAGCTGTAATACTATGTCAGAACAGAGAAAAATGATAAGGTAAAAAAAAGTGGGATCTCAGATTTTCCAGGATCCTGATGTATGTGGTTTTGAATTGCAGTCAACTGAAAATATTTGTCATGCGTTGGCTAGTCTTCATTTTGAACAACCCTAGCTCCTCCTAGGCACTTTCTTTCATTGTTGCCATTTAATTCTCAGCTTTTCTTCTTTTATGTAAGCACCTTATTTTCAATTAACTATATAGTAGCCTATATTCTTATACTCTGTTCATCTTAAAAAAAAATCTCATTTTACAGTGCTTTCATTCCTGCTATCCTTGGAAGGGTGGTCAGAAATCAGAGAAGACTGTACTCTGTTAATGCCTTTGTCTGCTTTCCAGTTCTCAGACAATCACAGAATCACAGAATGGCTTTGTTTGGGAGGAACATAGAAGCGCACCCAGTTCCAACCCCTGACATGGGCTGATTGCTGCTCACCAGATCACAGCACAGGGCCCCAGTCAGCCTGGCCTTGAGCACTTCCAGGAGTGGGGCCAATTCTCCAAGTCATTCTTCCTATTGTTAAGTAGGGGTTATAGCTTTGCTTTCCTCAGGCTCAAATATGCAGGAAAACTGTGCCTTCATTTCATTATCCACTTCTTGCAGTGTGGCAACCTCCTTGACATCATAGCCCAATTAGAATGGATGCTAGTTCATTCCTCAGGAAGTTTTCAAGGACAATAGTGGCAGAAACTGGATCAACTCTGGATCATCCATCCTTTGTATTCATTCTTCTCATCTGCTGCAACTTTCACTCTTTTGTTCACACATATCTCCAAGTCTAGAGGGCTTTTCTTTTGCCAGTCATTCATATTGCCTATACCCAGAGCCTAGAAAACAGCCACGTTAGTAAGCAGAAGAAATTAATCCTTTTGCTTTTGCCCTTCACAAAGCAGAGTTTGCCTCCAGGTGAGGGTCCTCCATTTGCAATGCTATTTGCTTTTACAATGACAAGCATTCACACGAGCAGCCTGCTGCTGTCCACTCTGTGCTCTCTTGCACCACCCAATGCTTTAACAAGATTTCTTCTGCAGATTCTCCCCTCTCTTGTCCTCTCTTCTATCTCTTTCTCTTTCAATCTCTGATTATTATTTTATGGTCTTGCAGATTTTTTTTCTATTACAGTTTTACCTACAAGGTGTGTCATCTTAGTTTGTCATGAGTGCACTTTTCGGAAAAAGAAAAACAAAAAGAAAGACTTGCAGTGCTTTGGCTCATAGAGTGCTCAAACTGTGCTTCTTTTGAATGAAACTGAGAGAATGAGCTCCAAGAGCATATTTAATAACTCTCAACTGAGATGAGACTAGACGTAGTTCCAACTATCCCCCACACATCCCAAGGAATGTGTAGCTGAGATGTTGCATTTTCAGAAGTAATGAGGTAAACTTATTCCCGTTGGGTCATAGCACTTTCTAATGTAAATGTTTCAAATAGTAGTTTCAAACTCTTTTGAAACAAAACCCAACCACAATTTTAGAAATGTTTGCTCTCCAGTGGCAGTACATCTTTAAGGTAAAAATAGGTGACCATGACTCAAAACTGATGGGTTCTGCAGAAAGTGTGAGTGACTCTGATTTAGGACAGAGTAGTTGAGTCCATACCAGGAATAATGTGTTTGTAGATGAGAATATTGCTCCCTTTGCTGGCTTTAGATAGAAGTTCAAAGGAATTGGGCTCATCTGCCTTTCCCTTCCGGTCCCTGGATGTCCTTCTGCACAGGCTTAGTTAGAGGTCTGCCAGAAAATGTATACATTTTTGTTTTTTTACAAATTATAAAGCTTCATCCAAATATACTTAATGCTGTATTTTCTCATTTTTGTGTAATTGCCTCTTAAAATCAATCTAAAAATTTTCGAAGGAGTTCTTTGGAGAAAGCTGACATTCATCGAGGTTGAAAACGCCTGAAGTGACAGTCCAGACAGCTTCACGTTAGATATATTTGTCTCCAGTTCTCATCAGGCCGTAAAGCTCAGGTAATGCTTCTACTTCTGAGTAGGGTTTCTACCAATGAATTGTTTGAAGCGTGTCCTTAGAAAAGTAATTTGTGTAATGTGTGTGTAATCGTACTGTCCCTGATACAGACCTTGTTGCATCAAAAAATCAATTTTTGTGTATTCAGGTTTCTACTACTCTTCTGAAAACAAGCAGTGAGGAATAGCTTCACAATATCATCTGGATTTATTTTCACCTATGAACTATGTTGTTTTTCATGTTTCACTGCATAACCACCTCCTTTGTTACCTTTCTCTTTTGTGATATAAGTAAATTGCAGAGCCAGTCTACTTCAAAGGGCACGGGGAATGATGTAAGTTGGATATTAGGTAAAGAATTTCATGCCTTTTATCAGAAATGGGTTACTTTGATTCTTTACCTTTCCTTGTTTTGTTAATCTTTCCTGTTCGCAAAGATAATTTCTTATAATTAACGATAAAAGATCTGGTAGCTCCATCCAGCTAATTTGCAATTTGGATGGTTAAGTCGCTAATCTTTGCTATTTGTTTCAATACATGCAATTACTTGAAAGGCAGTAACCATTTCAAATCATGTACTGCTGTGAGTACAAAAAATG